GTGCGGAAAACCGAATCACGTATGCGCTCGCGTATAAAGATGGGCGATTTCTCGCGCGACTTGCGACTTGCGACTTTGCAAGGTGCAAGCCGTACGCAAGAGTGCACTTTGCCTCGCATCCGCAATTTGTTTTGCAACCAGCCATAAGTGTGCAGTCCACACTTGTGCAGGCCCCGCATATTCAGAACCTAAAACAACTTTTGGTAACCAAGCGCAACGTATATCCTTTTGATCAAATCCAGTCAAGGTGGTGTCGAAAGACACCAGATGCGATACACCAGCGTAGCCATCCGATGTACGACCCGTACTATTGTACGGCAAGGTAAAAAGTCGGTGGTCGGTGACCAGCATGAAGGTATCCTGTGCGGTCTCAAGGTACGGCCGCCACTCTTGTAGGGCATTGAGTACACAGAAGCTCTTGCTCTGTGGTGGTGTAATTGACTTCGGCAGGTGTGAACTTTTGGCTGGTGTGGGCGACGGGGTGGCCATCCTGTAGCAGTGCACCGCCTGTGCCGTAGATGCTGGCGTCAGTTACGACTTTGGAGGGTTTGGTAAAGTCAGGAAGGTGCAACAACGGGCGTTGATGAGGGCGTATTTAATGCCGTCGAAAGCCTGCTGGTGCAAGTTCTTCCTTCGGTCAGCCGTTTGCTGCCGGTGAGGGCGTGAGTGGAGTCGCTAGCGACGAGTACCCTTGGGTAAACTTGCGGAAGTAGCTCGCAAGGCCCAGGAAGCCGCACAGCGCCGTCATGTCTTTTGGGACGGGGTCGTTCTTGACGGCCTCAATTTTTCAGGGACCCACCTCAGTCTATACTGGCCTACGAAGTGGCCTAAGAAGTTGACTTCGGGCTTGTTCAGCTCGCACTTTTCGCGCGTTGCACCTTAACACGCCCCTTTGCGGGATTCGAGTACGGCACGCATGTGGCTGGTCGGATCTTTGCTGAAGATGAGGATATCATCTAGGTTGACAACGCAGTAAGCGTCGATGAGCACGGTGTTTATGACCTTTTGAAAGGTCGCCGGTGCATTAGTCAACCCGAAGCACAGCACTTTGTACTGGAACGTTCCGAAGGGTGTCATGAGGCTGGTTTTTGGGATGTCCTCCTCCGTGATGCGAATTTGATGGTAGCCGCTTTGCAGGACGAGGGATGGGAAGATACTCGCGCTCTGGAGTGTGTTGAAGAGGTTGGTGATGTTCGGAAGTGGATACCGGTTTTTATGGTGATTTTGTTAAATAGAGTGCTAAAGTCAAGGCACATGAGAAGCGAGCCGTCCTTCTTTTGTGAGAAGAGGACGTA